CTCTCCTGAGCTGCCCTCTGCCCCTGGGCGTCTCTCTTTCACGGAATTCTATTTCTTTCCTTCACTACTCTTTGCCCAGACTTCATTATCTTGCTTGGATAAGTATTAACTATTTGATTGTTTACGTAGAGGAACACTGTCTGGTGGAACTTTCCCTGACGGTGGACATGGTCTATATCCACACTGTCCAATACGGTCAGTAGCCATGAGGCTCAGGTGGTTACTGAATGCCCTCAATGTGGCTGGTGCAACTGATGGGCTGAATTTTTACTTTCACTTAATTTAAATTAATTTAAATATAAATGGCCACAGGTAAGACCATACGGTGCCAGACAGCACAGATAAAGACAGCAAGCTGCACTTGGGTGCAGAAAAACTGTGGTGTTTGATTCAGGGTTGCATTCTAGCATCTACTGCAGTGGCTAAGCACAGACAAGGTAACACACCTACTTTTTAAACAAGCAAATGGGGGGGTGAGTTTATCATCAAATGCAATTCATTTACAGTTGGAGGATCTTCATCCAAAATCCTGCCCCTTGAGGATATCAGAAGAGATTTAGAAAACCTTGTTACAGAAAACCTCTTTCCGAAATCAAATTGGAACTCGGTCATACGTTTCAAAGCAGAAAGCCAGACAAACCTCCGATTTTGACGGTGAAATCGTGAGCGACCATGCAGTTTCTAGCTGCGAGGTCCCGGTGCACAAACTTCTTGGCGTTGAGGTACGCCATCCCGTCAGCGATCTCCGCAGCCATCTGAATCATCTCTTGCAGGGTAGGCGGAGGGCGACCCGGGTTATTCTGAAGTCGAAACATGGGGTCGAGTTCAGCGGCACTGGTACCCTCGGCTGGGAAGCCTGTGCCCTGCTGGGTACCCAGAGGCAGCTCACCTCAGCCTCCGGCCGCAGAGAGCGGAGGTAGCTCTTCAGGTCTCCATGAGCCATCAGCTCCATCACCACCAGCGTTGGCTGGCCCTTGGACACCACCCCCAGGAGGCGGACCTGCAGAGCCAACACGAGGGTTCTTGGGTGAGGGTCCATGGGACCATTCCGACTCACAGAGGTCTCCCTGTCTGGTGTCTTTGTCTTAGCACCCTGTGCCTGGATGGAGCATGGTCAGTCCTAGTCTGGGAGAGCAAACCGACGACCTGTCTACATACAGCAACATGCCAAGGCAAAAACGGGCCCCTTTAATGTTCCTGAGCGCACGATGCATGTTCCTACCCCCAGGCCTTTGCATTAGCTGTTCCCTCTGCCTCATTCTCTGCTCCCTCCCGTGTCCTTCACATCCTTTATAAGATTTTGCTCAAATACATCCATCAACCCTCCTCTCCTCTCCTTTTTTCACCTATCCATAGCATTTTATCCTAACGTATAAAGTAATGAATACGTCGGGTTTGGTGTCTGTCTCCACGTGCTGTGTTGGAAACTCCACGAGGGCAGGAATCTGCAGCATCACGGGGAAAAGGCGCAGGGCTTCAGGTGCCCCACAAACTTGCATGGCAGGAATGAAAGTACGCGAAGGCCCAAAGAGAGACGAAGAGCCCCTTGTTGGAGCAGAAAGGCAGGAAGCATTTGTGCTAGCATCAAGGAGGGGGGCAGGAATGAGGACAGGTGGGATGGGGCATATCTCTGTGCGGTTCAGGGTTACAAAAAAGCCAGGAAGAGAGAAGAGAGGGAAGAGTCCAGAAAGCAATGGAAGATTCCAGAAAGTAATGGAAGATTCTGGAATGCAGTGGGACACCCATAGAGTCTGGTCCCAGGTGAAATGGGAGAGGATGGGATTGGAGAAAGGAGTGATCCTCCCACACACACACACACATCTTTAGGATGGGAGGCGCGGTGGAGTGGGGGATGGGCAGGGTCTGCATCCGTGCGCAGTGGGCGACGGCGGGGCAGAGGAAGGGGCCTCGTCCCCGCCGGACTTACCACGTGGTGGCACGTGAAACCCTTCATAACCGAAGCCTCGTTGAGGAACTCGATCCGCTCCCGGAGGCTGGACGACTCGTTGACGGTCTTCACCGCCACGCGGGTCTCCGCCTCGCCCTTGACGATGTCCCTGGCGTTGCCCTCGTACACCATGCCGAAGGAGCCCTGCCCCAGCTCTCGGAGGAGGGTGATCTTCTCCCGAGGCACCTCCCACTCGTCCGGCACGTACACAGAACACGGAAACACTACTTTTCACCTATCTACACGGCGTTCTCGGCCGGTCCTTTGGGGGTCCCCAGACCCCTCCCACCCCCCGCAAACATTCATTAAGTGACTTCTGTGCTGCAGGGACCCGTGCCGGGCACTGGGTATACGGCTGAGAACAGGACAGGTGTCTGTCTGTCCCCATGGAGAAGATGGCAGAGGCTTGGGAAGGGGTCCCAGACCAGCTGGAGGAGCCCATCCAAGCGGGTGCCAGACAGCAGGTGTCTGAGTCTCACAGTAATGGGGGGGCGGGTTTCTGCAGCAGGGGCGGGTCAGCAAGCTCACAGGAACAAGACGGCTTTCCCTGGCCCCCCTGGGGTAGTCACCTGCACTCTCACTTGTTGATGATGGCAAAAGAAGCCCAACAGCACAGTTCTGGCCACCCACGGGGAAGAGGATGCTACTCACCATCGCTGGCACTGAGGTACTCAGGGTTTGAAGACGCGTACAGCGGTCCCAG